GAAGAGAACTCCAAGATTCTTGGCGGTGCTGCTGGATACCAGAGCAATTCCATCCATGCTCCACTAGCCAAGCCAGAGCAATTCCATCCACGCTCCACTAGCCAAGACCACGCCATCCACTGAAGCGTTTAACATGAGTGAATGTGTTGTTGATTGATTTTGTCTGGTCGGTCGGATGGGTTGTGGGGAACTACGGCGGAGGGTGCACGATGGATCCTCCGACGTAGTTCCCCACAACACATCCGATCGACCAGACGAAATCAATCAACTCCCATTACCTGAGGTGTGATTGAGCGGCTTGAAGATCCTTGAGATCTGAATGGATGTAGCGGTGGTAGGCTTATGAGGACCAGGCCCATGATTTGGATGGGGTGTTCTGAATCCGAATCTGGTGGCTGCTTCGCCGGATTGTGAGATGAAGAGTGGGTTTGTTGAAAGGACTCACAACTGACTAAGTAAAAGGCCAGTGTCGGTCGGCCTGATTGACATTCTACTTAAAGCAAACAAAAACCAACCAATGTCAATGTAGTGTCTTCCGAAAGACGGGATACGTTATGTATGCAGGCATGGCGGTGTGCATTGAAGGTGAGGGTTGAGGCGGTAAACTCTTCAGCATCTGAGTAATCCGAAAAAGACCAGGTAGAACATGGCTTCCAAGGTTGCAGGTTATTGTATCTAGAACAGATAGTGATCATATGGGTGAACAGGAGGTCAAAAGGTGAGGGGGAGGTGACGAAGGCTGTGTGAGGGCTCTTTCTTTGATAGTCTTTTGAGGAGGGAGGCTCATTGGGGATGATTCCAGGCTGCACATGTTTTCCCGGTTAAGAGTTTGCAGAAGAAGTTTATGCCACTACAGTAGGTTTTGAGAGTAAACGTTTTGATGGCCATCTCGGAATGGGCAAAGGTGACGAAGCATGTCATGGAGACCAGGTTGGATGACGGGAAGGTACTTGGTATCGTTTGTGGAAGCTCTGGCATGCTGTCCAGTAAGACAAAAGGGTGGATGCTGATAGGCTGGAGTATGGAGTTTTGCGATCTGGCGATCAGCGGTAGAAGGGCAGGGTTTACAGGTTGAACATCAGCGCCTGCATGAAGGGCCAAGCTTCTGAACTTCAACTCCCATTATAGAAGCCCCCAAAACCAACAGGAGCGGAGTCCGCATACAAAGATTGTAGATCTTGTAGATTGTGTGTCGTCATAGAAAAGGGGTGTCCTGTTCCAAATGATGATACCTTTCTTTTCTGAGTATTTCCTAGTTGCGATGCCGATGAGGTTTATGTGGTAATAAGGGGTTCGGCGGTTGTGTGGACCGGCCGATCATGAAACCTTCTTTCACTTCCGTGGCAAGGTGCTGTTCGACGGATTCTGGTTCTTTCAGGGCTGACTGATTTTTTTGCATTTGAAAAGGGGTGGACAATTGAGTGGCGAGTCCCGAGTGGAAACCTTTTTTTAAGTCCATCGATAAGGAACTGCACAAGATGTACGCCAGCATCCCAGTGCCATGAGCTTTGCCTACAGCTTGCGATACGTTCCTGCCTTGCTGCTTTACATTCTTGACATGTCTTGACAGCGTTAGGTTGCCTTTTTGTGTGACGTTACATTTTACATTATGTAAACACTGAACATTGGCGTTAGCTGTGAGCTGGCATCCCGGTGCTGGTAGCTTCAACTTGTAGCCATGAATGATGCGACTGGGAGGCGTTAGGGTCTGGCATCCCGATGTCGGGGTTACGCCGAGCGGTTGGGGTGGCTGGTAGAGGGTGGTAAGGTGGGCTGGCATCTTGGGGCCATGAGGCTCGCCTACAGCTTGCATTACGTGCTGCGTCGTTTGTGCTAAGTTGTTATGCTACGTTACCTTGTGTCTTTCTTGTTGAGTAATGCTCTTGAGTTGCATTGGTAGGTTATCTTGTTGTTGTCAGGGATGCGTGGCGAGTCAGGACTCAAATACAGAGTTTGAGTAACAAAAAGACTTTAATAGTCATAAACTCAACAAACAAAAGGCCAAGGAGCAGGGGGGAAAAAGGCAGACAGGAACGAGAGACATTCAGGACTATTGACAGGGAACATCCGTGACAATAGACAATGACGCCACAAGTGACAAACAACGCACACTGCTTAAATACACTAGGGAGGTGCAGGTGATTGGACACAGGTGGAAACAATCCGACAATCACAGGGGATGACAGGACCAGGCAGGAAGTGAAGTTACCCGGGGACACGAGTGGCAGAAAACTACAAAATAAGACAGGAAGTGAACCACACCGTGACAGTTGTGTTACGTTGTTACATTTTTACATGTAATTCCCCCGGCAACCCCCAAGCAGCCGGGAGGCTGGGTGACTGTCCGGAGTAAGCATAAGTCTAAGTCGAAGCACACGGTTAACCACCAACCACTTCACGTTTCAAACCGCTTCTCCCCACTCGGCGACACACCCGCTGAGAAGCCAACTCTGGTGATAGGTAGCTCCATTCTGAGGAACGTGAAGTTAGCGAAACCCAGGGACCATAGTTACATGTATACCGGGAGCCAGAGCGGGCGACATTGAGTCTTATCTTAAACTGCTGGCTAAGGATAAACGTAAATACAGTAAGATTGTAATACATGTCGGCGGTAATGACTCCCGATTACGTTGCTCGGAGGTCACTAAAGTTAATGTGGAATCGGTGTGTACATACGCTAAAACAATGTCGGACACCGTAGTTTTCTCTGGCCCCCTCCCAAACTTGACAAGTGACGACATGTATAGCCGCATGTCGTCATTCCGCCGCTGGTTATCGAGGTGGTGCCCAGTAAATAATGTGGGCTTCGTTGATCACTGGAAGACGTTTTGGGGAGAGCCTGGTCTGATTAGGAGGGACGGCATCCATCCCACTTTGGACGGAGCTGAACTTCTTTCTAAGAACCTGACCCAGTTTCTTAGTGGACTTAATCCATGACCCAGAGTTCAGACCAGGGAACAGAGTCGCAGTCTTACACACTTCTCTGCGCTTCGATCTGAGCAGTCACTCAGCATAATGAACCCTATAGAGACCTTGTCTGCCCCACGGACACAGTTATCTAAGTTAAAGGCAAAGAACCGAGGAGTTATAGTAAATAACTTAATTAAAGTTAAAACTAATAATGCAATAGTGCAACAAAATAGGAGAATTAAAGGGGGTCTTTTGAATATCAGATCTCTGTCATCTAAAGCTGTTTTAGTAAATGAACTAATATCAGATCACCATGTCGATATATTTTGTCTTACTGAAACGTGGTTGTTGAATGGGGAATATTTCTGTTTAAATGAAGCGACTCCTCCGA